TATAACCCAATTATATCTAGGGTACCTGTAGTTATGAGACTTATAACTGGGTTATAACTACAGTTATTAAGTAGGTTATAAGTACAACGGACCTCCAAGCTCCCATTGGCTTACCGAGTACGGGTGTTAGGCTGACGTGTATCTTCAGTGTCTGACCACCCTTGAAATGGGTGAGAACGGCCTAAGCAGGCCGGGTGGGAATTTGGGGTGTAGGGTTTAGGGTATTGAGGGTGCGCAAAGAGGAGTTAACGGGAGTGAATCTGGTTGTACGATTTCCAAAGGGTATTATCAAGCCTAAGTCCTGAACCCCTAGACACTAAAAATCTAAACCTCTTCAAAACCCTCAACCCCAAACCCTAAAACCCTAGAGCCATAAAAACCCTAAAAACCCTAAAAACCCTGAAGCCCTAAAACTCTAAAAACCACAAGACACCCGAAAAACATTAAACCCTGAAACCCTAAAACCCCATGTAAATCTGAAGCACCAGATGTGACGTGGGCTGTCAAGTACCCCAAGAATTGGGGCCCTATAGGGCCTAGGTTAGGGTTTACGGTTTAGGGTCTAGGGCTTCGGGTTTAGGGACGTACTGTTGATACGAAAAGTCTGCATGACCTTAATGTACAAAAAATATCATGATTCCCAAGGTATGAGGTACATAAGGGCATGCAGGATTACACTTATTAGCATCCACCATAGGATTTGGTTAATAGCAATTTCAGTACATGAGTACATGATTATTGGGTATTTGGACCCTTTCTGGTATGGGATTTAGGCCGGGTTTGGGCATAGGATCTAGGGTCTACCCAGAGTCACCTATATAGTCTACCTAGAAAGAAAATGTTTTGCTGAATATCTAAGTGTCTTGCGTTACGCTAGGTAGGGCTCAGGGCTTAGGGTTTCAGAGTTTAGGGTTGAGTCGGTGACGCTTCAGGTTTCTGCATGAGCAGATGCCTGGTAGGCATTTTGCGAAAGACTCGTGCTATCCATAATCATAACCAGAGGGGGTTATAAGGACAAACCCTAAACCCTAAACTATATTTTATAGCCTGGTCACAAACTGGGTGTTGTCCTACCTGGAAGAGCTGTATATCATGCGTACAAAGGAGGACCACCTATTTCGCAACTATAATTACCTCTGAACACTTGTTTTTGTGAAGTAGGATTCTAGACGACATCTGCGGTGTAGGGTCTAGGGTTTAGGGTTTAGGGCTGGAGAGTTTGAGGGTTTAGGGTGTTGGAGCAAGGAGCGATGCTGAGCTGAATGGCACATTGCTCGTTGTTAGGAACACTAGTAAAAAACACCAACTGACGAGGATTGGGGTTTAGGGTTTAGGGGTTCAGGGTTTAGAGTTTAGGGTTTAGGATTTACGGGTGCGCCTGGTGATCCTAGTTGACCATAACTATGGCGCACCGTTGCGGGAAGTTAGTAGAAAGTTGATATTACATGTAGTCCACCGGATCCCCAGGTAAGGCTTCACCCGTTAGGGTTACCTGGACCCCAACAGTATGTAGAATAATGGCGTTTTGGGCTATATTTTGGAGGTTTAGGGCTATTATTCTACCTACTTTTGGGTTTAGGTAGCCCTTTAGGGTTAGTACTCACTTCCTCGAAAGCTGTGTACCAAAGGTGTCCAGCCATGGACATGGGTCTTGGGCCTGACTGAACCCCAACGATGCGTAGAATAATCGCCCCCTGGGCTGTTTCAAGGGTTTCGGCTTACTGGTTCTTAGTAGGCAATAAGGGAATAGAATCCCTATATACTCCCTAATTATATAACATAATCCCCAAATTCCGCACTAAATCCCCGTAAGTCGTGGGTTTCGGGCCATTCTTCTCAGGCAGGGCTTGCTATGCCTTGGAGGAGTCTGAAGCCGGCACCCTGAACCTGAAATCCTCCACCCTCAGCCCGGCTGGGGGATGTTCGCAACTTAGGGTTTAGGGTTTAGGGTTTAGGGTCTAGGGTTTAGGGGCATGCAAGATGCATACGCAGGACCTCCAAAATCCACCCTTCGTGGATATTTGTTTCAACCTTTCAAGGCTATAGGGTACCCAGAACCCCAAGATTTGAGCTATAGTCTCAACTCCCGAAAGGGTTGTATAGCGGGTTATAGGGGAGGAGTACAGGGGTTGTTAGGGGGGACATTCAGAATTGAGACCATAGAACATTTGGGTACTTGGACCTTTAGGGTCAATGTCATGAAACCCTGAGTTCTACATCCCCTTCACTTGCGGCTCTTCATAGCCCCTAAGGGTCCAGGTACCCAATAATCATATACTTACCCAAGACCTGTACTATAATTACTATTACCCAATAGCCAGGTACCTATTCATTTGGTACTTGGACCCTCAGGAAACATTCACGGGTTCCATATGTGAGGCAACGTCACTGTTTGGCCAGGGGCTAGGGGCTTGCATCGCAGCACTTCAGCATCTACACTCCAAAGGATACAATATCTGAGTAGCGTTTTTTGGTGCTTGAACCTCGTAAGATAATATTCCTTATACAAAAAGCTATACCCAAAAGGAGGATATAATCTTACTCTATAATGGGTACCATAGTATCCCCAAACAAACACTACCCATCTTGAGCTTCGAAACACTTTAGGGTTTCGGGGTTAGGGCTCAGAGTTATATCCTTAACAAGAGTCAGGGCAACATCCGCCTGACAATGATGACGCTCCGGAAGATGCCTTGCAGATCACACGGTTTAGGGTGTACCTTAGGAGGACCCCCCACCCTGTAATAGTGGTATATTAAGAATCTAAGAGGACCCTAGTATAGTTACTACTATCCCTTATAGTCACTATTACTGGGTGGGGGGTCCACCTAAGCTGTACCATACCAAGTCAGGAGTTCCTAAACAGGGCCTTCATAATGAGTTATTCGAAAAGTAATGTCAAAAACCATGCACAAATAGCAATAAGATTCTTACCCCAAACAAGCCGCGTCTATCCTATGACTTAAAGAGAGTGCTGCGTTTGGGGTTGGCTTACCAAAGCCCTCCGACTATTTCAGGTTTGGGGCTTGTCCACCTCTGACCCAATGAGTTACCCACAGTCTAGTGGCAGTTCCCGCGATTAAGTAGGCATAACCCATGCTTCCATAAAGCCCTGTCTTGAAAAAGTGCTTTCAGCGCGCGAAAAAGCAAACTAACCTGTATTA